AAGGTTCCAGAAATTACTGAAAGCTCCCCCGTTTGCGGGAGCAGCTGTGAGCCAGGATAGGGCGTGGCGTTACATATGATGCATTATAACCCCAAACTATTTAATCCTTTTTGACCAAATAAATTTAACCTAGGAAACAGTAGGACAGGCATAGCCTAACTCAGTTCACAGCTTCTTTTTTTTTTGGCCTCAGGGACACTTCTGCAAATAAGAAGTCTGCAGACTGCTAGGTCCCCAGCTATCTGAGGGGGTGGATGGGTGTTCATGTGTATATTAGTATGCATATATGCTGGTGAATTTTAGGTTATTAATTTAATATGAATGAATTCTCAAGGATACAAAGGGATACCACCACCCACAACTCACACCTTCTTCACCATGTTAAACCCTCTTTTACAACACTGTACTATTTCCTAAGAACTAGCATTGAGAAAACGTTTAAAAAGGTGTCCAAATGTTCCGATATTTATGCCTGAGAGGCCCACTCTCTTTTAGCCACTGACAGGGCCAGGTCTCTGTTGGTTAACGTGTTGGTTCCCAGAGATGGTGGAACCAGAGGAAGCAATACAACATTGCAAACCTCATTTCCACAAAACAGATTGGGGGGGGGGGGGCGGAGACAGGGAACGGGGTAAATATCTGAAATCACTGCACCAAACCTTGGTCTCATTGAATTCTATGGCAGAACTCTGACTCCAGTGAGTCCAGGATTTCGCCCATTACTATCCCGAAAGCCTTCCAGTTCTCAAAAAAAAAAAAAAAAAAAAAAAACGTCAAAGGGATCTGTAGACAGAGGAACCCAACAACACTAAAAAGCACAGGGCATTCTGTTCTTATCTGTGAATTCCCATTACCTTATTAGTGTGCGTCACGGCCTTAATGTTCTTTTAAACACAGAATGTGAGGGGAAATGTTTCTCAACTACCCACAAATTATTTTGAGCATTGTAAAAATTTGTTGAGTGGAGTAAACAGTAGTTACTGTTTAAAATATTGTTGTTTCATTTGCACATCTATGTAAAAATTTAGGTCAAACTAAAACAATTGCTATGTGGACCAAAGAACAAGAGGGGTACATATGTACTGAGACTCAAGCTTTATTTACCCCTCCCAATACCAAGCAATCAGAATGTACAATACCAAGCAATCAGAATCAGTTTAAAATAGGAAACACCTTTAAAAAATTAATCTTCCCCAAATTTAACACTCCTGATCCAGCACCACAATTCTTGGCCAGGACAAGGTATGTCAAGTCTCAGCAGAGTACATTCTTATCAGTTATTAAAAACCCATTTGAAACAGGGGTTTAAAATGGAAAGATGAAACAACCTTAGGTCTGATCCTGCAATGGTAACTACTAACATGGTTCCCTGTACTCATGTGAGGTCCTGCTAAAATTAAAGAGCTAATTGACTCTACATGGATGTAGAGATCCATGCTAAATATATCACTACAGAAACAAGATCACATATACTATTGTAAAAGTTACATAAGGCAACAATGTTTCTCATTAAATAAGAAACTTTGCCATCAGTACCAGAGAGAAAGGAGTTGATAATTGGATGATATGAAAGTTTCTCTCTATAGAAATAACTGTAGCTATCCATACACAGTTAAGGCTCACAGCTGCTTCCTTAGATAGGAGATGTGGTCCTGAAATTTCTGGAGATCTTATAACCCAACACTGTGGATCTCTGCCATGATACATTCTTTTAGAGAAATAGTAGTACATTCCAACAAAAATTCTTAAAACAAGCACAGGTTACACACTGAAATTCCTCTATACTTAAAATGAAAATTCAACAAACATTTTATGTACCACATTCCTCAAATTTTTTTTCTTTTTCCTAATTCTGGCTGGGCTTTCTTGAAATGCCTGTCCTGTCCATTAACCTCTAGGTACTTGGAGTAACTTATAACGGAATATTGTCAAAATACTTTTAAACAACAAGTGTAGAAACAGTTGCTAGGAGAAGTTGCTACAATAACTTGAAGGTTGAAAATGCATCATGGCATATCTTTGTAATGTATGCGTGTTTCAGTTATATAAAGGACCACGGAAATTTATACTAGTTTTGTGCTATGTTAATGGCATTTGAAATTATTCAAAAATATTCTATAGCATGGGAACTTCATCTGTTGACATTTAAACATGACAAAATAAATACTCCAGTTTTCACTATTTGTTATAACCATTCACAATAAAAGGATATGACGACTTAATACATGGACTTTTTATCCTGACTGGAATGTTTAAATAAGTTCATATTTAAGAATGGAGAGAAACAGTTTATAAGATTTAATTTATTTTATGGGTTAATAAATAAGGTAAAATTTCACAGTGTTAAAATCAGACATATTATTATCCTTGGTTAACAAAATCAGGGTTTTTGTTTGTTTGTTTTTAAAGCATATTCCCCTTTTCTCCCATTTCCCTTACCTCCTAAAAATTTACTGTTGTAAATTTTAGTCTTCTGCTGGATATAGTTTTACTTTACAAATAGTTGGCAGTATTTGACTATTATATAATTTTTAAATGAAAATTCAAGTTCTTTAGAAAAATAAAACTGATTTGTTTTCAAGCTGTTTTATAAAGGCCATCACTGCCAGTAGAAAATGGGCAGAGCCAATCAATATGAGCTGTGTTGTATAACAGTACATTTGTTAGTATATCAGTAAACCTGATGATCTTCTTTCTCCATCCATTGAAGTTAACAGGACTTCTCAGATTCTTAACGTGTTTAAGTGCTTTCCTGGATTCGGCTGATGATATCAGTTTTTAGAATGCTGCCGTTTCAAGAAGAGATACAAAAAAGCAATGTCTCTTTCTCAGAGATCTATGTGGTTGCACTGTATTGTCAACAATAAAGTGGCAATCTTTTTAGTACAGAGATTGACCTTTTGTGAAGGTCAATACATGCTATGTTGGTAAAAGTATGCAAACTAACAAGTCAAGGAAAAATATTTTTTAAAAACAGATTTGTATTTATTTTAAAAATATTTTCCAATATCAATTTTTTTCATTGTGTTACTGTCAAATATTTCTTAACAGTTAAACATAACTATTGTCTGGCAACATGAAAACAATTAGATGTGAGCAGGAAGTCAATTCTGAGGAAGGCTATGTTTTGTATTCTGAACACTGCTGGTCAGCTACAGGACTTGGCACTTCCCGTTTTATGCAGAGATCTTCTACTTCATCATCCTGACAGCATCAGTGTTACCAGTTGAAAATTTAAATTACTAAAATTTTGGGGGCATGTGAGTTTTTAAGCACAGATTACATTTCCCCCCTAAAGTAATACATGTACATCAGTTCAGCCATTTTTCAAGTTGGTAAATATTATTGGTTTCAGATATTTAAAAAACTCATTTTCAAATTATATATATTTAGAAACCAACATTGCTGATATTTGATCTTATGTATGAGCTAATGTCTCTTAGTATTTTCTTCCAAAGAAAAGAAAATTATAAATGTCAAAGTCTGAAAAAGAAAAATCTATTGAGCATGCAAAAAAAATGACATAACCATTTATCTACAAGGCCCGTATGTTGATGAAACATTACAGTGAGATTGAAAATCATAAGCCACTTAGATCTCTCTGTGCAAGTGTCTCACATCGACACACTACAAGAGAAAGACTTATTTGTTTTTAAAGAGAGACTATTTTAATCCCAAGAATATAACTTCCTTTAAAGGAAAGTAAATCCAGTGCACCATAATGCTGCATGGAAATTAACATCTTATAGGAATGCTACAGGGGATTTACCTTTAAGTAAGATAAGAGTTTGGGCCCATTTGTCAGACTTCTCTTAAATTCTGGTTTTTTTGGTTGGTTGGTTGTTTTTGCTCATGCACTTTTGTCACTGAAGTTGCTGTAGCTTCCTCAAACTCACTACAGCGTCTCCCACAAATTAAGTAGCTCTTAAAACCAAAACAGAAATGTTTTTAAATGTTAAGATATTTAAGATCTAGCAATCTCCATAAAAGCAGGGAAATTCAGAATCAATCCTGACTCAGTCCACTTCACAGGCATTACTTGACATTTAGGGCCACATCTTGGCATCCAGCTCTTAGCGTGAGGCAAATGCAGCTTGAGAGCCCTGGGCTGGTGTGATTTAGTGGCCTCTGAGCTCTGTCTGGATCCCAAGAGCTGTACTGCAACTTCCTGGCCAACAACCTAATCTGCTTCCTATGTGACTCTGTCCTACCTGAGCACTGAAGTCAAGATGATGGACAGTTCCAACTGTGAACTGAGAATGAGCAGGGGAGGTCTAATTTCCTTGCCTTTACAGACTGCAGTAAGGCCTAACATTATTTATTATTTAACATTTCTAGATTTAATGTAGATATTCATGTTTTTCATTATTTAAAAGAAAATTTAAATAAAAAATGTTCTATAATACAGGGGTACTTTTAATAGGATTTGTTAGAAGCAGCATGACACATAACATGCAATTCATTCTCCCATGGTACAATTAATTTTTGAGACACTGTAATAATAATATTTTCAGCAACTGTATATGCCTAAAACAACACTAAAAGGGAAATGTAAGAACCATTTTATCATTAAATCATGCAGTGATTTATTACCCTTTTACCTAGTAACATGTTACTATGCTTATAGAGATATATTTAATCAAAATGTTAATGTGGTCTCCCTTCATAGCGAGCAGGCCATCTATAGCCTATTATGTATAAGAACTAACTCACAATTCTTAGTCTGTTTACAGGTACTTTATAACAGGAAATGGCATGCCACCTCTTGATTAATAAAAACATGTACAGCTATAATCTTTAAACCTACAGAAATATTCAGTTTTATTACTCAGGTAATTTTAAATGACCAAATGCTTTCTTAAGATACTTAGTTCTGCTTTTTTTATCTGAATTCTTGGAAAACAATCATTTCATACTATCTTGATTTTGGTATGAAAAGTTGAAGCGCTAAATCATTATATTATAGGGTAAGAGCAACTTCCACAGCATGTTTTTCTCACCTTTTCTGTCAGGTTTGAGGTTCCGATCCACTGGTGGTGGTTCACATTCTGCAACAGGTACTGGCCTTCTGGGAGGGGTCTTTGGACTGGACCTGAAACCCATGTGGGCGGGTGGAGGGACTTGCATTCCAAATAATGAAAAATCAAATGTGCCTGGTGTCATAGGTACATAGTTTGTCTCTTGGATGGGTTCAGTAAAGCTGCTGGAATGCTGCCGTGGTGGAGAGTTAGGATTCATTGGGACATAGTTTTCATCCAGCTCTTCACTTGAAACACTTCCCACTGTGAACATGCTTCTGTTTTTCTAGAATTAACATACATTTCCTTTAACAACAAAATAATCAGTTATGCTATCAGCTGTGAAATCAGATTCATATTTTAATCTCATCTACTAAAAATATTGTGCAACTCTACACCCTGGTTTTGTACTACAGAACACAGAACATGCAAATGTTTTGTCAGTATAGTCTCAAGTCAGATCAAATCATACTTACAAAGCCTTCCAGTGAGCTAGCTCTGTCATTTGGAAATGATCGTGGAATATCATAGCAGTCTTGAGAACTAATATCTAAAGAATGAAAGGGGTGAAAGTAGGTATTTATTTTCTCATCTCAGTACCTGTCATGTAAGTACATTAGACCACTTTTCCACAGTCTGTAGTTGTTTACTATCTGCTTTCAAGTGAAATTCAAGTTACTGATCTTTAAAGCGCTAGTCATCAAATAATCAAACAGGGGGAGAAAGAGAGCGAGACAGATACACCTGCTATATGGTGGTGCAGAGTGGTATAAAGGTTTTGCCAACCTATGTTTGGGATGACTGCACTACTTATCAGCAAAGCTTCTATCTACTATATAAGTCACACTTTAAAGATCTGATACTGACATTTTCCAGGACCAGAAACAAGTGATGCATCCTGTTGAAAAGCTGAAAGGTCCCATTTCCAAATGGTACAAAATATCTATATCTGCCATAACAGATTTTGAGATCTCGGTGTTTCACATGCAGTTCTACTTGGAAAAGTGACTTTAAGAACAGAATTGTGGGTCAGAAGTTTTCCAACAGAATATTTTCTACTGGAAATTGCTGATTCAACAGAATTGAATGTTTCTACGGAAACATGTAAATTCCATCAAAACTTTTAAAGGAAACTTACCTGGTTTCCTGCCAGATCACCTGCCTGTCTCCTTGGCAGCCCAGCCTCCCAGGGCCTCCAGCAACTTGGGAGGCCAGCTGTCCAACTGGCTTGCTGGTGCACTGGCAAACCAGTCGACCAGCTAACCTGGAAATTTTCAAAAATATCCATTTTGGTTTTTCCAAAATGGAATTTTTTTGAAAATTTCCATTTCATGTGAAATTTCACATTTCCAACTTTTAATTCCAAAATCAGAATGAAATATATTTCCCATGGGGCAGAAATTCTAGTTCTTGCCTATCTCTTATTGTGGGTTGCCTATTTATTTTGTCTCAATATTTCCATTTCAATTTTGCTAAATTTACAGGTGAAACATTTGGGGAAGGGAATGGCCTTTTGGAGTTTGGTTTTAAATGTTGTAATTTTGAAATACTAATTCATTCTTTCCATCAAACAAAACATTAAAATAATATCCATACAACTATATCATCAATTCCTTTTTTGTATTTTGCCTTAAAATGTTCCCTACCTAATTCCTCTCTCCAAAGGACTTCTTTTTTAATATCCCTCACCTATAATTAATATTACTCTAATTGGTTTAATAATTTATATTAACATTACATTGTTATGCTCAGTTGTCTCAGAAAACTAAGGCATCCATTAGAGCATCAGAGACATTTACAAGATTAATGGAATGGATTTCTCTATATTTGACTGGAGATGTAACACCACCATCTCCCAACCTTTCCATTGTTATTAAAAACAGAAATGTATATTGCTTTTGATATTTAATTAATCTTCGCTTGAAAGAGAGAAAAAAGACAGAAAAAACTAAGTTGCAAATTTTTCCTTAGGCAGAAGCAGCTGGATGTTAAGAAACATCCAAAAATGTGTTAAGTCTCATATGGAAAATAATAAGTATACTTTAAAGTCCAGAAATACAAACATGTTTTAATTATTATATTTTCTAGACAAACTGCATTATATATACTTAATCATAGAGAGGTAAATATATTTTTTGTACCAGCAGAAATAAAGGTATGGGTTTATCTAGACACATAGGGCCTAGAGCAGTCCCCACAGAAGTCAATGGGACTCTTTCTATTGACCTCAACAGGAGTGAGATGGGGCCATTAGAAACTAACCTTATACTTTTTGATATCAATCATTCAGTAAGTATTAAACTCCTTTAATGAAATTGATAATAGCAAACAGAATTAATTCTCCACTTTCAGATATCAAAGACAAATCCAATATTAATATATTTGACCCTCTTTTTTTAAAAGATTTCTAGGATTTCAATGATACTTTGCAATAGAGAGATCCTTAATCAAGAGCCCCTATGCTTTGCTACTTTGTTTCCAGAGTCTAAGTTCTTTTATTCCCACATCTACAAGTTTTTTCCTTTTGAAGACTATCTTCAACTGGAAAAATTTTAGTAGTAACAAGCTTGGCATCTAAAGACCACCCTTCAATACCTTTGTGATGGGGTGTACTCCCCACTCTGGTTCTGAGAGGGATGAATTAGGCCAGGTGAGCCCAAACAGCCAATTAAGCAGCAAATGAGGGAGATATAGGCTGAGTGGAAAGCCCTGATTAGAGAGAAGGTCACCTGAGCAAAGGTGGGTTGGGCTAGCATAAAGGAAGCTAGCATCAGAAAAGGCTTTCAGGAGGAAGTTTGCAGTGACCTCCTCTTTAGTAGAAAGGGAAGGAAGGAAGCCAGGGAAAGAGTACAACCCTGGGGAGGTCTGGCCCTCAGAGAAGGGCCTACACTGAAGAGAGCATGGTGGACAAGAGAGCCTGTGGGACACAGAGTAGGAAGCAGCCCAGGGAGTAAGCTGCAAGGTTGGGGACTGAACAAATCTTGGCTGTGTGTTGTCGGGTCCCTGGGCTGGAACCCGGAGTAGAGGGTGGGCCCAGGTTCCCCTACCAGCCACTGAGGGAGTGGCACCATGGGGCAGTGAACAGAAAGACTGCCTGAGACATTACTGGAGTGACATTGTCAGGGCAATGAGGACTGCCTCATGCTTTTTGTGGCAAGAGACTTTGAAAAATCACCCTGGAAGGGAAAACCACTGTGATTTGGCCGGAGGGCTGAGGCCACCGCAGCTCCTGGAGCGAGAGGGGCTGCAGACAGACAGCAATACAGAGAGACAGAGTGCAGCTGGCAGAAGGGGAGTCTGCCTCACATAACTAATCCCCAGAACAGCCAGGAGGAGGTGCTATCTGCAGTGGATAGAGTGCCCTGTCACAATCTTGAAGAGCAGGAAGTATTGGTCTAAAGAAGAAAAAGATATACAGTGCTCAAGTGTCAGCTATGTCAAGTATAAACTCAGCACCAGTGAGAAGGGAGATGGAAGAGTGGCTCTAAACCACTTTTCTGATCCCCCAATCTAGGATGGCTAAAACCAGAACAGCCCCAGTGTAACTTAGAACAGCTTCTGAGTTGCTCTGTGTTTCCAGCTGCAGCCAGCTGGATATTTTGCGCTCCACCCCACTCCCAAGGCACCCCATTTGCAGATAGGTGGTTGTGGTGGGGTGGAGGGGCAGCACAGTGTTGACTTTGCCAGTTTTGTGACATCTACTGATTCCCCGGTATCAGGAGGAATCCTCAACTGCCCCTTTTTGATAGCTTTCAGGGCTGAATCCATGGCTGGTTTGGATCTACAAAGCCACAGACTTGTTATCCACTCATCTAAGAGTCTATAATACTCTACTAGAAAGAGGAGGTAATGAGATTTTTTTCCTACCTATCAGTCCTACAAACTGAATGTCAACTCTAGCTCAAGCTGAAGGTTTGGGGTTTTTTCCCCCCGCTTTTGCCTTCTCACGTATCACCACCAGAGAGAAAGTCCCTGCAGCACAAAGTATAACTTAAAATTATACCTATGTAAACACACAGTATCCAAATTCTGCCCTGAGTTACATCTGTACAACTCCAGTTATAACTTGCCTACAGGATCTTTATTACTAGTGATGACGCATAAAAAGAAAATAAGATCGCTTGACTTCTGCAAACCAAAGTGAGTTTGACAAGTAGAAAAGACATATGTAAATTAAATAAATATATTGGATCACTGAGACTCAACAAACATGGAACTCAAGCAAGTCATTTTTCCAGAACAATTTTAGAACAGCCACTGACTTTACACCTGTCACTCATGAGGATTACCACTGCTGGGCCTTGAGCCACTGCACCTTTGAACAAGAGCAGGGAACTCCATATGTGAGGGAAAGAAGGAAAAAACTCTCCAGCAGTTTGGTTTAGAAGCTACTCGTAGGTTTGGAATGTGAGCCACGGCACTGGCAAAAATGGATCAGAGTGCTAACTTGCCTCTAAACTGCGCGGCCACGCAGCAGGCTATCAAATTCTGCGCAGGTGGAGAGAGGCGCCTCTCCCCCGACCCCATCCCCGGAGCTGCCATGGTGAGAGAGGGCTGGGGGGAGTCCTCTCTCCCCACTGCAGCCTCGGGACAGCCTGCACCCCAAACCCCTCATCCCCAGCCCCACCCCAGAGCCCTCACCCCCAGCCGGAGCCCTCATCCCCTAACTCCAACCCTCTGCCCCAACCCTGAGCCCCCTCCTGCACCTCAACCCCCTCATCCCCGACCCCACCCCAGAGCCATCACCGCCCCCCGCACCTCAACCCTTTGCTCCAGCCCTAAGCCCCCTCCCACACTCCAAACCCCTTGGCCCCACCCCCATCACACATCACCTCCATGTTGGTGCACATAAAGAAATTCATTCTGCACACGGATGTAAAAAATTTGAGGGAATATTGTTACAGTGCACCACGCAGGTGAAGTAATGAAGGTCCATGATAAATACAATTTATCACAGGACTACCACTACCACATAGGATTATAACAGGGGTAGGCAACCTATGGCACGTGTGCCGAAGGCGGCACGCGAGCTGATTTTCAGTGGCACTCGCACTGCCCGGGTCCTGGCCACTGGTCCAGGGGGGCTCTGCATTTTAATTTAATTTTAAATGAAGCTTCTTAAACATTTTAAAAATCTTATTTACTTTACATACAACAATAGTTTAGTTCTATATTATAGACTTATAGAAAGAGACCTTCTAAAAACATTAAAATGTATTACTGGCACACGAAACCTTAAATTAGAGTGAATAAATGAAGACTCGGCACACTAGTTCTGAAAGGTTGCCGACCCCTGGATTATAATATAAAATATACAGAAATATGAAGTATGTTGTCTGCAAATAATTTGGGCAATAGTATATTTGAAGGCTGCGCTAGACAATCTTAATAAATTCTTGAGACTTGGACCATCAAAATTTAAAATAAAATGCCTATATTTTGGATGAGGTCACTGGCAGTAAGTTTCTGTGTAACACATTTAAAGATGAATTAAAAATTAATTTAAAATTACTGATGTTTAAAAGGGGCACTCTAGAAAGCTTGATAAAGCCTTTTTATGGTCTTCATTTTGGCTGAGATTTTCAAAGCATTCTGTCACCCTATTTTTAGTAGAAATGGGGTGCATAATTCCCTTAGGTCCACTCCTTTAAAGAGCTCAGCCTATTGAACAAAATTGAAACAAAAGAATCGTGAAAAAGCAAGGTCGAGACACCAACTACTGACCTTTACGAAATATATTCAAATCTACAGTGGAAATGGTATTACTGCGTGATGGTGGCAATCCTGCTGTAGGGATGCAATAACTACTATCAGTGTCTGAGGCAGTACGAGTAATGCTACAGGTTTCCACGGGAGATCGATCTGAAGCATGATGTGGTTTTGGTGGTCGAGGTGGAGGAATATCTGGAATAGTCTCTAGCTTCGAAGTTCCTTCTGGAAAAGTTCGTGGAATCTGATAAGTACCTCCAGGTGTTGGGGGAATGTCATAACTAATGGAGAAATGCCTCATTTGTGTATCTAATGAAGATGTAGCAGAAGGGGTATTGAAAACATGCTGCTCTCCTTCTGCATCAGTCCCAGATGGAGACGTTGCCTTTGGTAAACCATCCTGTGAATAACTCCTAGGCAGGTTATAAAGGCTGCAGTCTACTGACACTGATGCCGCTCGAGGTGGCGGAGAGTCATAGGTACTTTGTTGCTGAAAAAAGCCGTTCACTGCATGCTTGCTCAATGATGGAGCAGAATTTTTATGGGAGGGTACATTATCATTGCAGTCTGTTTCAGAAGAGATGGACTTTGCTGAGTCAGCATGCAATCTAAACAAAATAAGATTGAAATGTTGATGTATAAAGAAACACATTACAACTGTAAAGAACAACAGAACATTTAAAATGTAAGCAACTAAAAGTCATTCAATTTCTTAATTCTAAAAAAATTAAACAGATCTTTATTTTAAATATTTTAAGTAATTATACACACACACACACACACACACACACACACACACACACACGTACGTACGTATGTACGTACGTGGATATATTCATCAGATCAGCTAGGCAGCTGGGGTTTTCACAAATATGTGACTTTGAATAAAGTCTCAGACTGGTTTGGAGGGCTTCTTGTTTGGCTGGGTATTTTGAAAAAAACATGTTGCACACTATATGAAGAGCTCATTAATGGCAATGTTAATGGTCCAGACATAGCACTAAAATTCTGGGCTTATGGTAACTTGCTTCCTCTAACAAATACGAAGGAAATACAATTAAAAAAATAAAGCCTTGTAACTTGCAACAGCTTTAAGTAGATACTTAAAGACATACGCTTTTTTTTTTTAAGCATACAGAAGACAATGTTTAGAGTAAATCAGAAAATGGAGGCAGAAAAGCTGAAGCAGTTAGTCTGAAGAAAAAAATTACAGGACATGGGGAACAAACCTGTATTCTGGTCTTGACCAGGGACAAGGCAGCATTGTTTGATATATTTTTTTTTTAAATCCAACAGTGGGTTTTATATGGCTTCTTTGGAAATTATGTCTCTTACGAAGAAAACACCTAACAATGACCTGTTACCTACAATACCAAAAAAAGCAGTGGCTGCACTCGCTCGCTCTCTCCCCTCTTGTGTAGAATTCCATCATCACATTGTGGCACAAAAATTCAGTTGATAAGCCTGACAGTTAGTTTAACACAAAAGTCAAAATGAACGAAAACACTAATAGGTAAGTAGAGTAGTTACCCTTAAACTTAGCATTTACCCACAATGCCCACATATTGGTATCGAATACACCACACTATTTTCTAATTTAAGTACCACTGGAATCTATTGTTGCCTGTGTGGCACAATCTGAGTATGTCACTGTAATAAGTACAGCTATTACCCCTATTACTCCAGTCATGTAACCGATTACAGGGCAGTTTATAAAATTATTGGAGTAAATATTTGACTGAAGATAAAACAACAACATGTAACGTCTTGGATACTAGGAGCTATAAAAAGAAAAGTTACACACTTACAAATATGCAACCTGGTTCTGTAGTGCTTATTCAAACAGAACCTCCCAGCAAAAGCAATGCGAGTTTTGACTGAATAAAGATGACAATTTTATATACCATACCAGTGACAAACAAAAGGTCTCAAAGTCATATTTTTCTATCCTGTAGAAACAGTAGTCAAACTATAGTATCAAAGATGATTAGTCTCAGTGCGCGCGCACACACACCTTCAAAAACTTCAACTAATTAAAAGTTATAAAAATAAAATACAAATTAAGGCAAGAAACACAGCATAGCATGATATGACAATAGAATAGAAATTCATTTGGCAAGCAATACAGCACACTTTATTTTCACTCTTCCATTCGTGGATTATGCAGTTATTACAATCATTGTTGTCCATTACATATTCTCTATTTACCTATGCTCACAAACCCAAGTGGGCTTTAAAATATTGAACACAAAAAGTATTACAAATATCTTTAAAATCTTACTTACCAATTCTGAGCGCTAAGGAGCCTTTTACACGGGCCTTTGAGAGACCTCCTAATGAGGCTGTGCTGCATTTTATTTAATTCTATAAATGCACAACATGCAGGAAACAGTCAGCTAAAACCATCATTGCTCTACAGCCAAAATGCTTCTGAAATAAATGTAGTCAAACTTTACTAATTCTGGGTCACTGAGAACGAAAATGATGCTTCAAATTGTTGATTGGCTCTAGTTTTCAAGATATGCTATTGGGTCAGTATATATGACCCTTGACTTGGGAATGGAGGAGGATAAGTGAGTTATAAAGGGAAGGGATCTCAATTTAAACCAGAAATGACTAAAATACATCTTTGACTGGATCTACGAATAAATCTATGACTGGGTTTGCTTTTTAGGCAAAACAATGAATGATGCAATCTGAAGCTGGTATTGCGTCATACATGATATGAATTGCATCATGTTATTCCTAGAAGTCATGGATGATGCAATCATAACGAAGCTTACATCACTCTGCTGAACAAATTGCCCTATATCAGCTCTAGAAATCATACAGTGTCGTGCTCTCTTATTTGTCAGTGTTTGATTTTGCAAAGGGACACATTTCTGTTTAGCCAAAGTGAGCAGAGATGCCTCGTACTTGAGTGAACAGTGCAGATAACTTCTGCTATGTTTGTGGTGAAGTGACTTTTGCATCACAAAAGCGCAGTATAACCACTATGGTTAAGAAAGCCTATCACCTTTATTTTGGCTGCAAAATTGGAGATCAGGACAAGAGGTGGGCCCCACACATATGCTGCAACACTTGTGCAACAAATCTTCGCCAGTGGTTGAACAGGAAAAGGAAATCTATGCCTTTTGCAGTGCCAATGATTTGGAGAGAGCCAACAGATCATACCAGCAATTGTTACTTCTGCGTGGTGCCTCCAGTTGGGAAAGGTGTGTCAAAGAAGAAAAAGTGGACTGTGCATTATCCAAACATTCCATCAGTTATACACCCAGTACCCCACGGAGAAGGACTGCCGGTTCCTGATGCACCAGAATCATTCTCACTTGAGTCAGACGAGGAAGAGGAAGAGGATGAAACTTCTGGTCCTGAACCATCAATGTCACAGGACCCACATTTTCTCCCATCCTCCTCCTCTGAACCACACCTCATAACACAAGGTGAACTGAATGACCTTGTCAGGGATTTGGAACTACCCAAGAGTAAGGCAGAGCTGTTGGGCTCCAGACTACAGCAGTGGAATCTCCTGGCAGGTGATGTTAGGGTTTCCATGTTCCGTGACCGTCAAAAGGATCTTGTCCCATTCTTCTTCATGGAAGATGATCTTGTAGCCTGCAACAACATCAATGGTGTGATGGCAGCCCTCAACATCGTTCATGATCCAGATGAGTGGAGACTGTTCATTGATTCATCGAAGACGAGTCTTAAAGCTGTTTTACTGCATAATGGCAATGTTTTGCCATCAATTCCAGTTGGTCATGCAGTCCATATGAAGGAAACCTATGACAACATGAAACAACTTTTGAGGTGCATAAACTATGACCAACATCAGTGGCAGCTTTGTGGCGATTTGAAGGTTGTTGCTCTCTTGCTTGGTCTGCAGACTGGATACACAAAGTACTGCTGTTTTCTCTGCAAATGGGATAGTCGTGCAAGAGATTCCCACTACATCAAGAAAGATTGGCCACTCCGACAGTCATTGGAGCCTGGGAGGAAAAGTGTTCAGCATCCACCACTTGTTGAATCAAGGAAGATTTTGTTACCACCCTTACACATCAAGCTGGGTCTGATGAAGAACTTTGTCAAGGCCATTGACAAAACACAAGCAGCTTTCAAGTACCTCCGTGGAAAATTTCCAAGGTTAAGTGAAGCTAAGATAAAGGAAGGTGTCTTTGTTGGTCCTCAGATTCGTGAACTTCTTCGAGATGATGCATTTGACCATGCACTGTGTGGCAAGGAAAAGACGGCATGGAAAGCCTTCCAGTTAGTGGCAATAAATTTTCTCGGAAACAGCAAGGCAGACAACTACAGGTTGTTGGTGGAAAACCTCCTCAAGGCATACAAAAGCCTTGGTTGCAACATGTCACTAAAGATACATTTTTTGCACTCTCATCTAGATTTTTATCCACCGAACTGCGGAGCAGTGAGCGACGAGCACGGCGAGCGATTTCACCAGGACATTGCAACAATGGAGAAACGCTATCAGGGCAAATGGAGCCCATCAATGCTTGCAGACTATTGCTGGACAGTGACAAGAGATGCTCCATTTAATGAATACAAGAGACAAGCCAAGAAGCGCCGAGTAGACACTGAATAGGACTAAACTATGTACAGAATAGTTTTTTGCCTTTTGTTTCATAATAAATTTTATTTATATAACCCTTTTGCTGATTTTTAAAGTGTTACATAAACAGGACAGGTGAAATATTATCATGTAAAGCAACCATAAACACATGAAAAGACCTAGGTTTACAATTTATGATTCAAACTCTACTATCTACACAACATACATAGACATAAAATGTAAAAACTTAAATATCTTAGAAACAGTAGCCAATCAGTTGTTTTAATTGTCATATTTGAATTCAGCACATCAAAATACATAATAAATAGCACATTTTATCTCTGAAGCAGATGACTTCTCAAAAATTGTAGACCAGTGAAATTAGTAGTCCAATAACAGTGCATGAATGCCACTCTGGTAGAGTACAGTTCATGCTACCTACTAGTGCTACCATATTAAACTTTAATTACTTCTAATAGTAACAATGCTTTTCCTTACTGTTTCTTGTCCATGAGCATTCATGAAAACTGAACAGAAGGAAACAGGAGAGGGATCACATTTGGACTACTTGAGGCAGCATAGCCATCTTTCCCTTTTCCCTACTGGCTGCATCTTGTGCTTTAGAATCTAAGCATTTTCAAAAACTGTTCTTTTAAAACTGAGTCTCTAGTCCTCATGGATGTGAATATACCCTTCAAAATGTGAACTGGCAAAACTGATCTGTGTGTGTCTGAGTTTGAAGACAGGCTGAAACAACAGTGCCAAGAGAGGAGTAAATTGCCCCTTTTCATCTTAGTGTGACAATCTCTGAAGCATAAATGATCATTAAAATGTCAGTAACAACTTTCACTGCTGATCAAAACAGGCATGGAAGAATTGGTATAATTGGGCAGATTTTCATAATGTACTGTGAATGGCATCTCAGACTGGGAAAGCCCGGGTTGTGAGCAGAGCCTGAGAAGAGAATTAACGCTATTATTTTTCCAGACTGACCCTAGAGGCAGGATGTTTAGTGAAGGGTGCATTTCTTTCATTCAAGCAGAACAGCTACATTTTATAATTTAGTATAACTTTTCCATACACTTCCATAGCAGGTCATGAATAACTTTTCCGGCTCTGATAGTGCATCAGCATATAATACTGATTAACATAGAGCATCACTGCACTCCTATTTGTTTAAAATAAAGACGGACTTAGTGTAGCAAGAGGAAAAAAATTAGCCACATCTGTTACCAGAGTAGGACTGACACACCAACTCCTAGCATCATGGTTCTACTACACCAGGCCTGCACAACATGCGGCCCGGGGGCCGCATGTGGCCCCCGTGGGCTCACTGTGCAGCCCGCGGGGGGTGAGTAGGCAAGTGACAGGTGAGGGAGGGCGGCTGAGGAGGCGAGTCGGCGGTCTGAGGAGGCGGGCGGGCAGGCAGGTGAGCCAGCGGCAAGAGATGGGGGCTGAGTAGGCGAGCCAGGGGGGTGGAGGACTGAGAAGGCAAGCAGGCGGGCAGTGGTGAGGGGTGAGTAGGCGAGCCGTGGGAGGGGGGCTGAGGAGGTGAGCGGCGAGTCAGTGGCTGACCTGTTCTACTGATCTGGTCTGGCTCCCATCCCCTCTCCAAAGGTTGCAGCTGTCTGAAGGTGCCTGCCTTCCATGCCTTCCTCATTCACACCTCATTCATTCAACAGGGCAACTGATTACAAAGTGAGGGGAAGATCTACTTCTAGCAAAAAGACATTTTTCTTTTACCTTAATTATACTACCTTAGAGGCCTGCTATAACATATTACCAAGGTTCAATACCGCTGTTTCGGTGGGGCAGCCATGGGGAAGGAGGGTTTGTTTCCACGGGGCAGGTGGCGCTGGGGTGAGGGGTTGTTGGGGGGGAGGGTTTGGGGGGGGGGGTGGGGGGGACTGGGGGGGGGGGGTGCGGGGGGGGTGTGGTTCAGTGGGGCCAGGGGGTTTCGGCCCTCAGCTGTTTTCTTTGGAGTAATATGGCCCTCGCCGCTTTACGAGTTGTGCAGGCCTGTACTACACATTCTCCTTACACCGCTGCATTACCAGGCCCAAGCACTGGCAACATAGTATCTACCCCCATTCCTTTTCCCACAGTAAGACAGCCTCTCTTTCCATGGTACCATGAAAAGAGTCCTGCACATCCTTCAAGTCCTGACCTGGCTCCACAGAGGTGGTGACAGGACATAGGACCATACTCAAACTGGCTCCCACTCTCCATATAGCTGTGCAGTTGGGAGTTGGGGGAGTATGCATGTCCCTGACAAGGCTTTTAACTAAGTAGAGGCACATTTTTGTCCCTTTAAGTGGCTCTTGGTTCCTCTTCCCAAAACTAGCTGCTGACAGAAGATTAGGAACATAAATAATTTTACAAAAATATTCACTTTTGAAGCAGACTGAGGATTGAACTCCTCATCTTCTAATACACTGTAAGTAGTTTGGTCACTTATCCTCTACCAATAGCTTTCCTTCTGTGAGAATCAATACAACAGGGCAGAGAGACTACTCCAGAGAAGGTATAGGAGCAAAGCAGCTATTGTGTATCAGCACTCAGGAATGGTAAAAGAGCAGTGTGAGAAGCATGCATGGTAGAAATGTGAGTTCAGCCTTGATAGGTGCTGTCATAGCCCTATCTTGATTAACTGAAGTTGGGTTATATTGTTTCTTTTATTAAAACTCACAGCAGACCATGCAGGACATGTTTCAAATATGAAATTTTCAAGCAGGTTATGGCTCTGTGCTTCATTTCTCACACAGACTAAAAAACAACAATTATACACTCACTGCAGTGGAATCTTTTTACTTTCAAAATCCTCCAGTAGTAGGTATTCTTTTCCTTCTTCAGAGATAAAGGATGACCCTGGGCTGGTTTATAAACAGGAAAAAATGGAGTAAGATCAGCAAGATAACAGCTGTTATTTTTGTATGTATCTCTGCCAACCAGCCAGAAATGTAAAGATTTCAAACAGACTCTATGGATGAAATTTTTCTTGTAAGATCAAAGATGAACTCTCAATCTTATTTAACACTGCAGTCAACTGTAATGATATTTTTTACTAATTACCTATTAGAACTTTAAGGATGGTCCAAAGTGATCAGGGCATAAAACTGTACTATAGAATAAATATTATGATTATTAATACAACTACTATTATTTCTAACATGCCCCCAATTCCAGTAATTGTACAACATTTTTAAAGTATCTATAAATAAAATAGATGTATGTTGGCACTGAAGATGCAAATACCAAGAACCTTGAAAATTCCAAAAAAGAAATAACCTAGAAATATTCTCTATTTGCCCTTAGTCCCCCTCCCCTAAATGTACAGGAATGCACTGATTCCTAGATGTTCTAAAAAAGGAACATGTTAAAGAAAGATATTTTCTCCTCATTTTTTGATGAACACTGGTCACTGTTGAAGGATGAACTAAAAGGTAAACACACGCCCAAACTAAGAATTTATGAAAATTCCTTTAATTTGTAACTTTTTTCTAATGTTATAACATCTGCCTACGTAATTATAACTACTACTATGTTTTATTTTTTTAAAATATGGTTAAAAAAAACTTTGCTAAGAAATACCGAAGGCCAAAAGGGTGCATCAATTGAGTCTACTAACACCTAGAACCTGTATTATAAAAATCCAAAGATTAATTATTCTACTTTTAAAAAAAAACCCTCAAAAAGTATGAAAGTCTAGAAACTAACGGTAAAAGAAAGTAGCCACTTCAGTCATGCCATATATTCCTTCTTCGCTCACCATTGTTCCTGTGTGCTCATACAAGTTTCCCCTCCCCCCCATCGTAAATATGACCCCTTATAATCTGCATAAATACTGCATAACGTACTGCAAAGATATTGTGAAATTCTAGTCAGTGGTGGGCAACCTGTGGCTGTTCTAGTTCCTTATCAAGGGGGTCTATTTCCAATTTGCTATGGCCCCATTTCAGCAAAAGATATATGCCTAATGTTAGGCAATTGCTTCACTAACTTGCTGAGTTGGGGCTAAAACTCCAATATATCATTATTTTGCAGTAACACTATTACATATTTTATAAAATAAGGACAAACAGCTAAATGTTAAACAGCAAGCTCACCTCAACCTGAACTATTAGTGGTGCTACTGCCGCACTATAACGTACCAAACAAGGTCTTCAAATACTTAACTTAAAACACCATATATTCAACACATTCCATATCCCGCAAAATAATGAACCACAGCTCCCTGAGCACCTTTTTCTTTCATCTTCTCCTCTCCATGTCCAACTTGCATCCTGCCCCCTATCTATATCTCTCCCCTCCTGTCTCATCCAGACCTTCCCCGTCAGGGAATCACGGTGACATGCAGTTCATTCATACGCTCTCCACCCTCACATTCCAACAAAATTATCCCTTCTAACTACTGGTCAATCTTATACTTCTATAATCCTACCACTTAACTCTATTTAGCATACAGTGATTATGATTATATATATATATGTGTGTGTGTGTGTGTGTGTGTGTGTGTGTGTGTGTGTGTGTGTGTGATGTTATATGACATAACATCACACAATAAACGAATAATAAATGAAATTCATTGGCTACATCCTTCAATCCCCTACCATTCTCCACGGTCCCTCCCAGGCTCCTATTCCTCCACATTTGTTCCCAGTCTCCCACCTCAACCCATGCTCTCAATTCTGGCTCCATTCAGCAACTGGAGTCAGAAGATGCTCAATTTATGTTTCTAAAAAGTGCTCTTCATAGCACTTACACAACTCTTTACCTGCCCCTACCACAACTAGACCCCTTGAAATGCTGAGGAAGACATCTTGTCACCATGGCCAATTAAAGAAACCAATCTGGAGTTTCTAGGTCAAGCCGTTCTGGTGAGACAATGAGCCAAAAAGGGATTCGAATCATATTTAGAAAGTAAACTACAGCTAAATATTCAAAACGCTACCTTTAAAACTATTTTTTAAAATCAAACTGTTCAGAAAATCTTTACCCTCGGAAGAGATGTGACGTATTTCAGAAAGATTGGGGTTTTGGGGGGGGAATGAGGAAGTTAGTAGTGGAATGTCTAACGCTTATAATACAGAACTAGCTTGAACACTCAATACAGAGCGACTACTACTGCTCCATATTACACAGATTCCTTCCCCTCTGGTTGCAAGACACTGTGGACATTCTGCCCTTTAATATTTTAGGAGTTAGCCAGAGGGCACCCTCCACTCCAAGCATTGTTTTGGATGTGGGAGGGCTGCCCACCACCTTCATCTTCCATGGACTGGAGGAGAGCAGGCTTATTTGCCTGCCCTAAATAAGGTATTTTGGGAGTTGGCTGCAATCAGCAACAAGAAGACTAAGAAATACTCCTCTGGTCCCAGGACCATTTTACCTTACTCTGCGGTGCTCCAGAATGCATGGCACAGCAACACGGAAACCTGGCAGACAGTCACATCATTGACAAGGTATTGCTCTAAGTGAATGTGTGGAAGACTCAGCAAAAACACTTTCATAGACCTCTGCTTAGCCTTTAAATATGCCCCTTTGCAATCAAGAGAATAATGAGCAAGCTTCTCTAGAAATACACAAGGGACCATTATTTTAAATTGTTACAGCAAAGCATCTCTGCTTGAGAGGTTTCTAATGTTTTCCAAGGACCATTCTGAGAAACAAAGCAATAATTCCTGGATATTTACCACTACATATTACATCCTCCTATACAGGCAGCATTACATTTCCATTTAAAATGAGAAGCAGCGGTTACTTGGGTACATCAGTTACCAGAGCTGCTCAGGTTTTTTTATATATTCTAAAATACTTGCCAGTTTTCCTACTCTTTAGGAGAGAGAACAGGGTGGGTAAATCTATTTAATATTAAATTGGACATAATTAGATCATACTAATTTTTCTATATTATTCAAAACACACTAACAGTTCACAAAACTCAGGATGCAGAGACTGGATGGTTCAAGATAAATTGTCTCTCATCACAAGATCTCTTGTTTGAATTTGATCCAGGTCAGTAATATCCAAAAACTTATCATCTGAGGGCTGCTTGATAGCCTGTGTTAAATGAGTTGGTGATCTCAGTACAGGTCCGAGTTGATTTTTATCCCTATCACCGAGCCACCACTATAACTGTTAGTAATTTGGCTTCCTTGATAGTAGTCATGGTAGAAGTACAAGGTACTAAAAAGGCCACCTCTCCATCCTAGAGCTGGCTTGAGACACAATGGAGAGTGGTGAGAAGAAGGATCCATCTTTGCTATCCAAGTTGCACCTAATTCCCAAGATATACAGAAATATTTGGTCTCCGGGACTATTAGTCTGGTAGATTTTATCAGCAAATATTTTAAATAATTTAGAAAAACAAACAAACAAACAAACAACGAAACAAAGACGCTGGCTCTGATGCTACCATTTCATATTATTAAAACAAGAAATTCAAGCACAAAACATAGGGAGAAGAGCAGAAGTGATAGGGTAAAGCAGTGGCCTCAAACTTTTTTACTGGCAACCCCTTTCACATCGCAAGCCTAAGTGCGACCCCCCCCCCCAAAATACATTAAACACACTTTTTTATATATTTAACACCATTATAAATGCTGGAGGCAAGCAGGGTTTGGGGTGGAGGTTGACAGCTCACGACCCCCCTTGTAATGACCTCGCGACCCCGAGGGGTCCCGATCCCCAGTTTGAGAACCCCTGGGGTAAAGAATCAAGACTGGTGCATTTGACTGCTGAATGACTTCAACAAAAAACAATTATGTAATATACCGAAATGCTCTGCAGGAATAACCATCTTTGGTCTATACAAATGAAACGACTACTGCAAAAAAATGAAAACACCTATTTACCTCGTAGGTTCAGGCTTCTTGCTTTGACAATTTATTAGCAATAGGTAATCCTGAGGATCTTCTTGGCTAGATGAGGACTCCAGAGGTGGGATGTTAATTAGTTGATATGGAGGAGGTAGGGATGATTCTGCTTGTACAGATGGTGGTGAAGTGTTGACTGCTAATGGTAATTCAGCAGATGCTGGTAAAGAACTGCCAAGTGGCTTCACAGCATCTATGACATAAAAGCACATAGATGTTAATCGCTCTTTTCATAGTTTATTGTGCTCTTTAAACTTTATGATGTCATCAGAAGGTAAACAACATTAATTTTAACATGACAGTGTGCAGATTTAAGCCAATTTCAGCATCACAATAATTTCTGACTCAAAAACAGGTCTGTAGGATATTCGAAAAATATTTCTAAACAAAACTGTATATGGAAGATAATTTTGTCTGATTTGATGTACAAATCTTATGCGTGGAAGAGGATCTCCTTCATTCTAGGCCATTCAAAAATGCCTTGGGACCCTGTTATTCTTCAGTTTTTTCCAGATGTCATCATTCGCCTGACTGTCCCTTCGAAACTAGAGGTTTTGTCTTGTAACATGATTTTTCACCCACTTTTCTGGTCACAAGCAAAACAAAGATGCTGACTGGTACCATGCAACAATTAAGCAGACAAATCTGTTGTTTTAAAACAACAATCAAGCGCTCACAGGTTAAAATTCTGTTATGGCTGCATGATTCCGCATTTTATACTGTGTTCAATGTATTTTTCCTTGATCCCAGTCACTTTGGTATTTGATACTAGAAAACTAGGCAAAACTGAAAAGAAGCAGGAAAAAATGAACAAAACAAACAAAAAGGCTTTGCTCCTATGGAACATTCAACTGTTGCCTACAAGATTCTGTGAGATGTGCTAGATTCTAAAAGAAGACTTTCTATTGCTATCCAATCCTGACCTGCTACACCTCTTATTATTGTGCTGCAACGTTAGATCCAGGTGGGTCTTTTGTTGTCCCATCTCTCCGCTTTATAATTCTTTTCCCCCTTCCATTTGTGAATAGTCTTTTCTTGCCAAATTTAATTCTTTGGTTTCTCCAGAAACACACACACACACACCATTTTGTCTGGTAGTCTAAAACTGCTAGCAGCATCAGATAGCAATAAACCTTTAACCCTTTTATTCTGTTTTTAAATTAAACTGCTTCATTTCCTTAAATTATTGAACCATCCTTAATTTATGTATTGTTAAACGACAAGACTCTGCAAGTGCAATTTGCACATCTTGCCAACAGTATCTGACTATTAGCATTGTTCTAATTAATTCACTACCCTACAATGCAACCGATCCATTAACCTTGCAGCGACCTACAAGGCTAACCCACAAAACTAAGCAGCTTAATAAAGGGATGTTCCCAAAATGATGATGATGTGTTCAATGATAATTCTGAATAAGGTTCAACTTCTAAGGAATTTTAAAAAAAGGGAATATGACATGATCATTTCCTGTTTAGAAACTGCAAAGACTTTATATGAACAGATTTTAGTTTTCCACATTTCACAATGCAATGAACATCTTAATTCCCTGATGTTTGTATTAAAATGACAACTGCAAAATTCTCTTCATTCCCAAGACATGTTGGAGTGGACCGGCAGGGTCTAGACAATCTCTGGGGTCCTGACAAGAGGAGGATTGAGGGGAACATAAGGTGCAGGCTCAGCTGCTCCAGAGCCTTCCCTTCTCCTTCCTTCATGACAGCTCAGAATGCACACAGACAACATGTTTGTGCAGAGGAGAAGGAGGAGAGGTTGCTCCTTCAGTAGCCAGGCTTGTGGGATGGTGGCTGAGAAGAGAGGCGATGGACTCTGTGGCCCCCCTTTTTACCCTTGCTGTATATAAAACCCTCATAGACATGAGCTAGGATCTTTTTGTACACAGGTAGTGCAGTAATCACACACAAGAAAATCCAGTATGATGTCCCTGAACTTTACAGGGAAGACGGACATGTCTAGTAGACACAGAGACAGATGTGCGATCAGCAGAACCTAGCAGGTTGACAGAAGGCAGATACCAGCAGCGTGTGTGTGGGTGCAGCCAAGCTACTCTCAGTGCTAGTGCAGGTAATAGGTTCCAAGTGACCAGCTCCAAGAAGAAAACACGAGTAAGAAGTCTGGGAGATGACTGGTGGACACTATTTAACTGGAGGAAGAAGAGGAGTCTTTAAATCTTTGTGAACTGAGGGACCTTTCACATGTACTCTCATTCCCCCTTGCAGGGGAATGGCAAGAGAATTCAGAAATGGGCTGAATCCTTGAGATTAGAATGAAAGGGGCCAACCATAAATGTTTATTTGGCCATTTAACACCACACTGGACTCAAATATATGCTTGGTATTTGGGGTGGGTGGAGTGCTAAACCATTAATATCTTCAACTTATGAACCTCTGCTGTGAAATCTATCCTGATGTGGATGCGTGGCATGCTCTAGTGCATCCCCAATCGTTATTTTAAACCAATGTATGATTTAAACAGTGATTGAGTTACTCTGAAACAAAAGTTTTAGTTCGGCTGAAAATTAGTTTTTCTTCATCTTAAGGGTACTTCTAATTTGCCTTGTATGAGTTTAGTATTGTTAATAATTGTTTTCAGTACTGATAAAGTAAACAATGTTTTAATTTCGTATTTTTAAACACTCAAAAAATCTCTTTAGCCATTTAATATACTTTGGAACCTGATGTTCAAGGTTTAGCCTAGCAGCTTACTATGATTTTAATGAGCTTTAATAATGATCTTGGTTCATTTTGAATGAACAGATTAGTCCATCTGCACGCTAATAAAAAAAACCATTCAAAATCTTTTGGTTTGTTCCCAGAGCTCAGACACCAGAGCTGCTCTGAAATAACTGTGAATTGGAAAAGCATTCAGTGTAGTTATCATACACATGAGCACAACAAGTATCCCATTTCACTTAGAATTCCTGTATTCAGTACAGCTAGAACAAGCAGCTTTTTAAACTGGACAAGTTGGGGGGGGGGTTATTTTTATTTTTTCGCTGGTTGGTAACAGTGGACAGATGTGTCACCCAGTTGAGTGTCAGTCTGGTCAATATAAAGCTGGGTATAAGAGCAAAGTTACACACAAAGTAGTTATGAAAATTAAACAATGGTTAAAAGGACATTTTGCAACCAAGAATAATGAAAGGCTTTCCCTCATCCTTTTGGTTATTTACAATGTTGCTGATGTCTGCACACCGAGAATAATTTAGAAGGTTTGAATGCCTTTTTTATGTATGAACTAAATTATTTGATATAGTGTACTTTGCAAATGAGTACAGTAGAACTTTCCACCACTTTTTTGAAATATGTAATACTTATGTAAAGTGTTTGCATAATGTGAGCAGAATATAAAAGGTTATGAGAGCCTTTATAAAAATATTGATTTAATAAAATGTCAATCGTGCTGATTTAGAGTATGAGAAAGCATTCTTCATAGGATGTAGGTAGAACTACTGGAAAGTAAAAATGGGATTTTCCCATAGTAAGCATGAATCAGCAACAGATAAGCCATTGCCTGGCTCTACAATTCTTAGAGATGAGTCATTCAATCCAGTTACTACTATGTAGATATTCTAATTAAAATGATTTAAAGACAAATTATTAACCTTGAACAACTCCAACACAAACTATGGAGATGGAGTCATATGAGAGCCTACATAGACAGAGCAACAGAGAGTCCTGTGGCACCTTTAAGACTAACAGATGTATTGGAGCATAAGCTTTCGTGGGTGAATGCCCACTTCAACAGATGCATGTCTGATACATAGACAGAGTACACACTGCTACAGAAAACAAGAATTTGTGGTGGCGTATGCACGTGTACACACACACCTCTCCACGCACCCTAGAATGCAGTATGCAAAAGGAAAAATGAATGTCAAATAATCTCAAAGTACTAAGACACTTCACTAAATCACTTATCTTTCAAAGAACTAATATTTTATAATAAGGGAAATCATTTCTGCAGTATTATTCTAATATAATATAAATCACATCCTGACACACAGGATGCTTTAGCTTCTCTATCTCACCCCAACACCAATTTCTCCCTCTCCTCTTGCACTAGTTTTCTAGGTCTGTTTTCAAATCAAGGACATCATCTTTAATAAAAGTCTCAGTCAAAAAACCTGTATAAATATAAACTGAGTCACCCACTCACCCTTGGAGGTTTTCAGCTCCCTTACATAAACTATCAATATATGAGTCAAGACAGTAAATATAGCATCCATGAAATACAGCCTATATTTACATACTCTTCTGTGAAGAGTGTAATACAGAGATGGCCGGGATTTTTCCAGTGAGACAATTTCAGTGAACTTCCAACAAAATACAAGCAGGATTCCACTGGAAACCTACCTGCTTTCTTGCCAGCTCCCCTGGCAGGCTGCTAAGGAGCCTGCACTTCCAGGGGCCACACCTCTAGGGAAGTCTCACCACATGAACTTCCCCAGACTTCCAGGCTCCCTGCCATGGAGCTGGGAGCCTGAAAATTTGAAGAACCCAGGTTCAATCTGGAGCTGTCAGGGCTTCTAGGCTCCTTGCCATGGAACTGGCAACCTAGTAAACTTCGGAGCCACAGCTGAGCTGGGAGTTGCAGAGCTTGGGTGCCCAGGATCAATTCTGTTTAGAAATATTTGAAATTAAACATTTGGATTATTTCCAAACAAATATTTTTCCAGTTTTTCCCACCAGGGGAAATTCTAAATTTATACTTGGTTCTGAAACAGAACAACTTTTTTCAGATTTTCACAATTTCCCACATAGTAGAAACTCTGCCTTTCAATCAGCTCTAGTGTAGGATCATAAAAGAAAACAAAATCTTTACATTATTGACTTTTTAATGACTAATTTTGAAGAACTGTACATTTCAAAAGCTTATTTTGTTTTTTCAGTCTCATCAAGTTACATTTAGTCCTCTTTTTCAAAAGAATTTAGCAGTTGTCTATTTTATGTTTAGGAGAGTCCGGTCTACTGTGAAACACCTATAACTGTGACTGACAGCCCTTAAGTTTATATCGTGTTATAGTTAACATTTCTGACTTTCAGTGTTTACTTTTTCTCAAATTCGGTGTTCATATTATGCAAACTGTGAATAATTTCATGCTGCATTTTTGGCTATCCATTTAAGTAAAAAAAGAAAAATAGCAAAGCATTTTAGTTTAAAATTTCTCCT